AAAAAATAACATCCCTCACTTTTTTTGTGGGAAAGATTAGTGGCTGGTAATTTTTTTCTTGTCAAGTTATCAGTTTGAAGGTATAGTTTATTAATTTTAATCACTTTTAGTTCAAATCATTTTATATATCAGACCTATCTAAAGTCACATTTTTTCTATCTGAAGCATATCCTCTAATATTACCTTTAATGAACTATTTCTGGGCGAAACTTGCTGCAATATTTTTACTCTGTGCATGTTAGTCATATTAAAGTTATTATTTACTATGTTTGGCTTCCTCTCTTTGCCAAGTGTTCTGTATCCAGTACCAAATCAAGTGTGCAGTTAAATTTTATTCCTCTAGTTGCTTATTTTGTAATTCGTTCCTAATATTCCCAGTTTAAAAAAAATAGTCATAGAAGAGGTAGTTGCTACCAGAAAATCAGACTTAATGAATGTGTCAGAGTCAAGTAAGGCAGGCGTCTTTTGAAGTCAAGGAATATTGGGATCAGTGGAAGGTAAGAGTTCTGGACGTGCCAGAAACTGACGGGGTGGGCGGGGCGGGGCCGGGCCTTGGGCCGATCCGAATACCTTAAGGGGACCGGCCGGTTCCACAGCGCAGAGCGCAGAGGAGCCACAGGGTCAGGCCCGGCTCCAAGCAGGAGCGAAGGCGGCCGGACAAGAGCGACGTGGGCAGGCCGGTCAGGACACGGCGGCCGCCGGCGGCTCCAGGGGAGGCTCCGAGAGCGGAGGACGACGAGACAGGAGCAAGGAGCGCGAGGGAAGCAAAAGGCTTCGGTGTGTCGAGCGCTTTCCGGGATGGCGCGGGCGCGGCTGCAGCAAGACGCTTGAGCGCGTCTGGGCCTGGACCCGGAGGGCGCAGGCCGGGCGGGGGTCGGGGACCGGCCGGGCGAGACCCGCCCATCCTCTCCGCACGGAGCCTGTCGTGCCGGCCGGACATCCAGGCGGGCCGTTCAAACGGCAGCTGGAAATGCGCACCTGAAGCGTCAGCGACGGGTCAGGGCTGGAGACGCAGACTTGGGACCCACCTCACGGGCCGGCTGAAGCCATGGGCTGCCAGAGAGCCAAGGAAGACAGTGTGGGGCCAAGAGGAGGACGGACAAACTCTTGCGGAAGAAGTCACTTCGGATCGAGAACTCCTTAAGCCGTGCTGCGTTCCTGATCACGGGAAAATGGTTAAAAGACTAAGTCGTCAAAACTGACTTGTAAACGAGTTTTGACGAAGTGTGAATGTTACATGTTCCGAAAAGAGAACTTGTAAGGGCATATAGGTTGTTTCCTTAAAAAAATGTTTTTAGGGCAAGCCCTCCGGGTCCCCTCCGACTGTGGGAGCTTTTCTGTTCTCTCAATAAATCCTGCTTTCTCAAAAAAATTTTTTTAGCTTTTTTTGGCTATTATAAATAATATTGTGATCAACAACAGTCTTGGAGCTCTATCTTTGTAAATCCTTTCCACCTTCCTCAAGTTAAATTACTCTGGCAGGTGCAGAGGCTCACGCCTGTATTCTGAGCACTTTAAGAGGCTGAGGTGAGAAGACCAGGAGTCTTAGGTTTAGAGACCTCATCTCTAAAAAGAAAAAAACTTTAAAAATTAGCTCAGCATGGTGACTTATGCCTGCAGCCCCAGTTACTAGCCCAAGAGTTTGAGGCCGAGTTAAGCCATGATCGTGCCACTGCACCCCAGCCTGGGCAACAGTGAAACACTGGCTAAAGAAAATAAAATTACCATAAGTGAAATTATAAGGCTTTAAAACTTTTGACTGCCAACACGTTCTCCAGAACGGCTGCATGAACCTGTACTCCAACCGGCTTTGTACAAGTGCACACATCTCACTATCTGCCAACCATGTGTAGAAAGTTTCACTCTCCTAAAAACTGCCCAACTTAGTAGGTAAAAATTTATCTTGTTCATGTCGTAACTACATCTTGTATCTGTGAAAGTAAACACTGCTCATGCTTTCATCAGCCATTTAGCTCCTCCTCTGTTAAGTGCGCACTCCCGTCCTTTATCCACTTTCCTGTTGTGTCGTCCATCCCTTCCCTTCGGATTTTTAAGAGCTCACTAGCTACTGGCCTCTGTCATATGACACAACAACAATTTCAGCCTTTTTACTATGTTCTTGTAGGATATTTTAATGCACGGTACTTATTATTTCTGCAAGAAGGCAAAGTATAACTATACTATCAATTTAAAGTTAGAAACTACTTTCCTTATTGGGCTCTAATTCTAGTCCAAGATGAAAAAAAACTTGGACACGCACTTAAAAATCAACTTGCGGCCAGGCTCAGTGGCTCAGCCTGTCATCCCAGCACTTTGGGAGGCCGAAGTGAGTGGATTGCCTGAGCCCACGGGTTCGAGACCTGCCCAGGCAACTTGGTGAGACCTCATCTCTACAATAAGTCAAAAATTAGCCGGGTGTGGTAGCACACGCCTGTAGTTCTGGCTACTTGGAAGGCTGAGGCGGAAGGATCGCCGGAGCCCAGCAGGTCGAGGCTGCGGTGGCGGGGAGCGGCTGCTGCACTCCAGTCTGGGCGACAGAGTGAGACGCCAACTCAAAAAAAAAAAAAAAATCAACTTGCCTAAGTGTGAAGCTCCCAACAGACAGTATAATCTAGAGCTATATAATGATGCCTTGGTACCCTCCAAATGCCCATTTCGCTATTAGCAAGGAACTGACCAAGTTATAATCCACAAATGAGGAATCCATCGGGTGAAGCATTTTATATTTTAAGCTGTCTAGATCGGCTGTCAGAACAGAGACCTGTAACTTGTTAATCAACTCAGCTACAATCACACCAGTCTGCAAAGTCTTCCTCGGGCTTCCAAGCAGGGCTGTGTATTTACACCACACACAACAGCTGCAACCACAAACTTCAGGAGAAAAACAGAGCAACCTCTCTCCACAAGGGGCTGGGGATCCTGACAGGTCTCAGCTTGATCCCCACCCATGGAGTCAC